ATACATTCATTTTATCCATAATCGTTTTCCAGTCATGATGAAGAATGTTCTATCGATTTCCCAGTCACAAGAATCTCACCATATTGCCAAATATATCTAACATCAATTCCACCTGCAAATAAGCATAACTAGTTAAGTGCATCAAAACGAGCGCCGTATTAGAGCCCAAAGCGCACACTACGAGATATAAGCCTAGCGAGATTGACTTACGAAACAATTCCATATATATTCCTAAATAAAGCAAGAGCCCGATAACAATGCTACTTGCCTATTCGTTTTGTGCTAAAGTAATGACACGCATGGTGACTGGCGCCGTGACTGAAAGGTTCGTGGTTCAAGCAAGGGGGAGGATTTTAGTATTAAATCTACACGAAGCACTGATTAGTGCTAATCGTTAAAACTTGAGATAAGAAATTCGAGAGATCAAATTAGTTAGCAACTTGTAAGCATGAATGAGGGGATGATTAAATGTCTCGTTAATTGTAAATCAGGACACAAAACGGCAAGAAAAAAGTTGACGCACAAAGCACAGGTGCCACCTGAAAGGTACATAACCGTCGCAAATTCTAGCAGATGAAAACCGTAACTAACTAGGCTCTTCTGCAGACAGTGTACAATTGGTAAGCAGAAAGACGCAAAAAAGTCTGTTAATCATTAGTATCCATAATTTATTTAGCTTTACGCCCTAAGAACACAAGCACCACCAACCGCTTTTATCCGCTCTTCAGCACGCCTGGAAAAGAAGCGCGCCTTCACAATTACAGGTACTTTTGGAAGTACTCCTTTACCAAGAACCTTGAAGTATCCCTGCGAGAACAAATTAAAACGTTTAATAGTCTCACCTTTTGAACGCAATCAATAACTGGGGCACGACCCTGCTTATCATTTTTAAAGAAGTGATACGTGTCATCTGAAACAAGGGACCAGATCTTGTCGAGATTAATTGTAGGGCAGTAATAAGGATTTCGCTTTAAGTGGTAATGTCGCATACCGACTTTACCAAAGTATCCAGGGTGGTACTTATCAAAGTTTATGCGGTGATGATGCATACCGCCAGCATTACCACGTCCGCCTGGATGCTTTCTGTGTTTACCTACTCTGCCATGCCCATGGCTAACATGTCCTCGAAGTTTTCTAGTCTTCTTGGGTTTGAGTTTAGACTAAAAAATATCGAAGAAGGTAAATTACCATAGAGCAGATCAGGCACGGGAGGAAGGTATCCGATTATATAAAGCGCGGAAATGTGCTTTAAAAGACATTGCAATTAACAATAATTCGTCTAAATTTTGCCTAGATTTAGGTTTATACCATTACAATTTAGATAATTGTAAATTTAAAAGTGTTTTTTAGTCTTATTTTAACGTTTATTTATGTTTGTTTGCATCTATTTTTTGCAAAATGTTTACTGGAATGCTTAATTTAATAAATAACAGAGACACATATTGCTGAAAGGCAGAGCAAAAATTAAATCCCTACAATATACATATTAGAGTTTAAGCCTTATGCAAAAATTAATGCAGAATAAGTATACCAACTAAGTACCATGAATACTAAATAAAAAATTTGGATTTTGGACAAAACGTTATCTGATATAATTTAGCGCCTTCAATTCATTTAGAATAAGAGTATGGAGATGAAAAACACATAGTATGCTCATTTTTTATTCAAAAGTAGTGTTTCGAGACTCAGTAAATAAGTTATATAAGATGTATCACCCTATTTGGTTTAAGGTGACGACGGATTAGAAGTTTAATTTTTACTCAATACTGTGAGTATAGGAGACTTTTACATTAAAATTCGAATAGCTTTACTTTCCTAAAATGGGCACTTATCCAGGGTCGACTGCAATTTTGACCTCTCCTAGGTCTTACTAATACCTCTAGCGGGATGGGAACCATGATAGTTCAGCATGAAATATAACACTCTAAACACTGCGCCACTTTTCCAAGAGTGCCCTTGGTCCGCAGGTCACATATTAATTTCAAGGAAGGCCAGGCATTTTTCCACATCATATTCAAAATGGTGTTGACGAAAAGTAAATTTATATTTGCTATAACATTCGACAACATTGCTTATTTTTCGTTCATAGGTAAGGTTTTAAGACTGGAATATGATATGGGAAAATACCTAGCCTTCCTTGAAATTCATATCTGACCTGTAATCCAAGGGCACTTGTAGCGATTTGGCGAAGTAGGTAACATATTGAGATGACGCGCTGAACTAGTTAGAACAATATTAAAATTTCCAAAATTTAACGTTTAAATTACTTAATTAGTTAATAGCCCAGGTATTTTTGGGATATTTTAATAATCAAAAATTGCATATTTTTATAAGTGGGTTGACCTAATTGTCGCAACTTGGTCTTGTTGTCAGGTCGACTTAGGAGAAAACACCTTGTCCGAATTCGTTTTTATAGTAGTTGACATGATTCCCAGCATCAAACAGTTGACACCGTACCTTCTCAGACGATTCATTGGCATCGTTGTCGTCATAAATAGTGAGTTTTGCCATTCTCTGCACCAAGCTACAAACTCGTCAAAGAGACAAATGAAGCCCCAATAGATTTGCCTCAAAAGAGCACACATTTTGACGAATGGAATGTAAACTAGTGAGAATTTGTGATAGGGCGGGAGTTGGATAAGAGGAAAAAGAGTTCATATATGGGCGAAGACAAAAAATAAGTGATAGTTTAACCATTTTTGGCAGAAAGTTTATCGAGATATTAAGGTGTCTGTCTAAGATTAAATGCAAATAATAAAGGAAGCGTGATGCATAAAATCTTATGGTTTTTATGCATACAAATAAGTAAATTTGTCCATTATTTACTATATTTAATTAAAAATTCGTATGATTTTGTGAAATTGCTAGATCAGGAGACAATTTCAGAAAAGGATAAGTTAGTAAGCTTTAACATTGTGTCAATGTACACAAATATTTCTGTCCAAGGAGCTATTCAAGCTCTGAAACAAATTCTGGAGGAACATTCAGAGATAACACAAGGAATAAGGTTGAGTGTAGCTTCCACAAGCTTTGTTGGTAATTATACAATCAACGCAACGATTAGCGATGGGATATCGCCTGTCTCTCATCTTAGCGAACAATTATATGACAAGATTTGAGGAACACTTCCTGCAAGAGGCAATACCATCACCCAAATTGTTAGTTAGATACATGGATGACTATTTTGTAATCCTGCCTGATGGTAAGGACAATTTAGATAGTTTCCTACTTTCACTTATGTAGCGTGAAAGGAACATTAGTTTTACGATGAAAATGGAATAGAGGATAAGCTAGTAAACTTTAATGTTATGTATATGTACACAAACACTTTTGTGCAAGTAGCTATTCAAGCTCTGATTAAAACTCTAGAGGAACATTTAGAGATAACCCAAGGAATAAGGCTGAGTGTAGCTTCCATTATTAGATATATTTAGTCGGAGACCATTTAGTCAAAGAGAGACAGACTGAGACCTTTTATTCTGTCCTAATTTTGCCGTCATGCCTTCTCTCAAAAAAGATAGGCATAATAACAGTGTTAAAAAAAACCCACTTACTTTCTTCTGTTATGCTATCTTTTAGAGAGAAATATGACCCATCACCGAGATCTGGCTGCTACAAGATTGTTTGTGTATGTAGTCGATGTTATGTTAGTGAGATATGTCGACCTATTAAACAAAGTTTGGTAGAACACATAAATGCTTGCAAACGTAGCTGGATCCAACGGTCAGAAGTAGCTGAACATAAGGTAAAACTGGACATAAAATTAAATGGTCTTAAACTGGTAGGCTTGCTTATTATAGTATGTCGGAGGTTAAAAGAAAGATAAGAGAGGCAATTGAAATTAACAACTTAGGAAATACGTTAAATATGAGGAACGGTATTAGAAAAATAAGTAGTAATTACTTATGCTTGATTGATATATTAAAAGTCAGAGAGGGTGTTGCGCCGCCGTCAAAAAGAAGGCGACTCAATTTATCTGCACATTGAAAGTTCTAATTTCACTCACATTCGTCCAAAATGTTACAATAAGCTCATTAACCAAACCAGACTTGTCAGATTACGCAGCACTATCCATGTCTTTTCTTTGGTGATTTAACGTTAATGACCCTAGACTGAAAGATTGACAAGTGGTTTCGTAACTTGATTTTTATGCTTAAAAAAATCCTATCTAATTATCTCAACCATAATTGTTTAAGGACCTACGCAGTCTCAGTCAGGGCTTTCTCTTGGGTCATTAGGTTTTGAGGATCAGAACCTGGGATTAAATCTTTGACAAGTCTAATTTATGAACCGTACTGCATATAGACGCTAACACGCACAAATACACATACTTATACACTCTAGCAAATATAACGGGACCAGTATCAAATAAAATTAACCAGACCACTCTATATTAATCTATCTAAATTTAATTTTATTTAGGCACAATTGAGTCTATGTAAGATGTAAGATAAAGCCGGATAGTTTTCTTGGCCTATTGTTAACGTGAGACTCTTACAAGAATTAAACTCAACTCTGATGATGCCCATCATATGATGAACAAAACCTCTCCACGTTTTCACCCGAAACGGGGGAGGAAGTCTTGTGGACTGCGTCAACATGAATATCGTATAAAAGCCAAACGGCTGCATTACAACGAGATTCATCCTTCCTCATCGGGTGACATCGACCAACGAATCTCTTCTTCATTCACTTTCATACGAACTGAAAATCCCCCTAACAATATAATAATTCAGTTCGCAGAAAATAAAAAATATATTATCAATAAATTAGGTATGGGCAAAAGAAATAGATATAATTTAAAATGTATTGTATAAACCGTGGTATTTTCATAGAAGTTGTCATATTGGTAGGAAGACCTAAAGGAACGCAACTAGTTCTGAATTTGGAGCATGTATGATAAGTCAAAAAGCCAGACCATGGACCGTGGCAAATTCTTAGACGTTTCGTTGGCATTGTAGCCGGTATCGTCAATGAACATTTCCATTCTTAGAATCAAACTACCACTCGTCAAAGAGATAAGTAAAGCCGATTCTTTAACCAATTGTCTGCTAATTAATCGTGGTGTCTCTCCTTCTGTCATGGGCTATTCTCCTGTCCTATATCTTAGTATCACCTGTTCAATATCACTTTTTTACTCGATCTCTGCCACCCCATCTGTGCAACTCGAGGAGTTATTGGCCCTACCCCGGCGTCTAGGTGACTAATTCGAGGCTCAAGCCTCATAGTCACGCCTTTGCGACATGGACCACGTCTCTTATAAAATATACTGTAATCCCACTAGCTCCCATCGCCGCCAGGTCTATCCTGTTCTATCACTAATACCAAGTCTATGACTTTCCATTCTCAAGTCTCTTGTGTGCAAACCCAAAAATGTTGTGGTACTGCTTGCTTTGGTTAGGTTTAATGTTGAACCACAATGTTTATAAGTGGCACACAATATACTAGGGCATGACAAAGAATAGAATTGGTATTAGAGATAGGAACAGAATAGCCGCGGGGGCCAAGGGAGATTGAGCGCTTGCAGTAGGTTTTATAAGAGACGTGGCCCATGTGGTAAAGAGCTGACCATGAGACTTACTCAGAAACTTTAGCCTTGAATTAGTAACCAAGACGCAGGGGAGGACGAATAACGCTTCGAGCGGCACAGATTGGATGGCAGGCTTCGAGTGAAATATTTGAACCAGGAAGAGAGCAGACAAATCGCACAGAGCAAGAGAAAGACTGTGGTAAGACCTGTGAGAGAAGAACTGCTTAACAATATGGCAGACTCTGATCAACTTTCCTAGCACAAGGATGAAGAAAAGTGAGAATGCCAGCGTGATGTGCGCAGGGTTTTCATGAAAGCCGTAAAATATTGTGACAGTGAAGGTGTGATAGAAGGATATAGGAAATGTGAATTGGCTAAGGCAGAAATGAGATACCATAACTGTTTAGCACACGTTTGGTAAAAGGATTGGCTTAACTTGCCTCTTTGACGAGTTGTAATATGGTGCTACGAATTGTAAAACTCACTGACGATGCCGACTACGATGCTGACGAAACTTCTGGGAATGTTCTGGAAATGATTATGCATACAATGGG